GTTTCTGACGCCCGGTTAATTGTAGACTTTCTGCTGCGGTTCGAAGATCAATCTCCTCTCTGCTACGATCATAGTCGTCGATGTTGAGCTCGTCGCAACCTGAGGGGAGCTCAATATCGATGTCTGGGACGGGAGTAGAGGTTGCCCTTTCTGGTTCGGCAATGTTTTGTTCCTCGTACTCATTTCTTATTTGTTGAATTTCGGCCATCAGAGCTTCAGTTCTGTCTCCGATGCCGAGACTTTCAGTTAGATTTGACTTTGGTTTTGGATCTGGTTTGGTATGGAATTCCTGAGGGCTCTCTATGGCTATTTCAGAGAGGCTGGTGTTGCTCCCCCTGACTTTATCAGCGTATGTTTGAGAGCTTGTTTTGCCTACAGCTGGTTTTGGTTTTTGGGCAGCAGGTATTGGGTCAGGGACACGGTGAGGTTTAGGGCAATCCTTTGCTAAGTGGCTCTCACCGCCACACAAGAAACATTTTTGGATCGTCTTGGGCTGGTTCTCATATTTTATACCCAGCTTGTGATTATCGATCAGGATGCTGGAGGGGATTGGTTTCTTTATCTCCTGTGTAAAGATAAATCTCACACCAGTATCGATGTTTGGATGGCGTGAGAGAAGTACAGAATGTTAGTAATTTTGTCAAAATTACATCATTCCGCATCTCGTATGCGGATATCAGGCTTACGGTTCAGAGCTGGGATGTTTTTAGCATGTTCTATTTCAAATTTGATGTCATTATAAATTTTAGAATCTTGTTTAAACCATGCATGAAATTGTTCGGGATCTGTCTGATTTTCGAAAGAAATCAGAAATTTAGCTCTCCAAGTTCTGGAAGCCCCTAATGATGGTCATGGGGGACTTTCTTTCCTGCATGATATCCAGAAAGTCTTGCGAGTTGATGTTTGATCTGCATGGTAAACTTTCTTTCGATCATGTTGAATTAATAATTTTATAATGTACAAATTTTTTTTTTTTTTTTTTTGGAAGGTGCAAAAAGAAATAGAAAAAATGAATATAATTAAAATAAATAAATAAATAAATTTGAAGAATTTAGATGGTGCTGGATGGACTGTTGACGGTCGGACAGGTGAAAAGTTAGAGCACAACACAAACACACAATTTTTTGATAGGTGAGTAGATTATAATAGGGTGGTGTTGTTCCCTAGAGGCTATAGCCGGTCAGTGGTCTTGAACTTTGACCGTACTACAAAACCTATTTCCGGTTTGATCTAAAAATTCTGCAAAACTGGCCAATTTTTATCTGTATGAATCTTCTTTGATGTGTGTGCAAATGATGGAAATTGTGCTGATGATATAAATAAATACTTGTCCTTAAAAGATAGTTGACCTGTGAGCACTGTAATATCAAGCAGAAACCTTTGGTGGCATGTTGAATTAAGAGTACTAACGTGATGTGGACAGTGCGTCCTTGGCTGCTTTTTTTTTTTTTTTTTTTTTTTTTTTTACACTCCGAGTCCGTTCAAGGCATCTACAGCACTCTACTAGGCAATAACACAAGCTTGGATCCCTAACATTAAAATATTTTTGCCATTGACTAACATTATTTACATATAATTTAAAACTTACTTTAAAAACATATAGACAGATAGTGTTAGTATTGTTAGTCAGAAGGGGTGCAGTGATTAAAAGCCTAACACTATATACATGACAATAACAAGGTTCTTATGACTGATTTATCCAAGCTTATGCCTCATCACAGTTTACTTTTCTTTTGCTTTTATTAACAACATATATACAGGAATTTACATGAAAAATATCCAGCAATACAGAGAAAAAGAGAAATATATATATAAACATAAATTAGATTAGAGGAGAAGGAAGGAAAAGTGAAAGCAAAAAAAAAAAAAAAAAAAAAAATATTGTACGCATTATATTCGGAAATAGACATTTTAAGTTGAATTTTTGAATTTTGAAATTTTTTGTGTTAATTTTTAAATCTTTGAATTTTGTTTTAGAATTTGCCAATATGAAATTATTCTAGAGTTTTTTGCCAAATATTAAGAAATTAGAGCCAAGAATAAAATATTAATATGACAAAACAAGTTGGCAGAGTTAAATTTAGTTACAAAAATAGAATAGGATAAGTGAAAGATAGAGATATAAGAAAATGTACAATACAATTAAAAACAGAACAATCTACTATCTGTAGGTAATAATATACATATAAACATAAATACAGAATAAAAACAGAACAATCTACTATCTGTAGGTAATAATATACATACAGAATAAAAACAGAACAATCTACTATCTGTAGGTAATAATATACATATAAACATAAATACAGAATAAAAACAGAACAATCTACTATCTGTAGGTAATAATATACATATAAACATAAATACAGAATAAAAACAGAACAATCTACTATCTGTAGGTAATAATATACATACAGAATAAAAACAGAACAATCTACTATCTGTAGGTAATAATATACATGCAGAATAAAAACAGAACAATCTACTATCTGTAGGTAATAATATACATATAAACATAAATACAGAATAAAAACAGAACAATCTACTATCTGTAGGTAATAATATACATATAAACATAAATACAGAATAAAAACAGAACAATCTACTATCTGTAGGTAATAATATACATACAGAATAAAAACAGAACAATCTACTATCTGTAGGTAATAATATACATATAAACATAAATACAGAATAAAAACAGAACAATCTACTATCTGTAGGTAATAATATACATACAGAATAAAAACAGAACAATCTACTATCTGTAGGTAATAATATACATATAAACATAAATACAGAATAAAAACAGAACAATCTACTATCTGTAGGTAATAATATACATACAGAATAAAA